GTATCATGATTATCGTGAAAGAGTCTTTCAATGAAACCAAAGAGAAAGTCTTTATAAAATTAATGTATTCTTCATGAGTATATCCTTTAGATACATGACATTCCTTATACTTGTCAACATCACCTTTTGCATCTATTTTGCTTTTAAATATCCATTTGCAACCAATTAATTTTACACCTTCAGGTAATGAGACAAGTTCTTTAAACTTTATTTTCTTGTATAGATCTTATACTCTTCTTCCATGACATTAATCCACTTATGAGAGTAAGAACTTTTATGATATGACTATAATTGATTAGATCATCCTCTATCATTCCACTTTAATCCTTATTTCTTAGATAAAAACAACATAATAATCTAAATATTATTTCTCTCATCTTCTTAATGAAACTTGTTCTATGAGCTTAAGATCTTAAGAACTTTAAAAAGGTTTATCCCAATGAAAAAGTAGTGAGAAATATGCGCTTTTGCTTACCAATGTCATGGAAAGGAAAAACTACTTCCATCAAAGAAGCCAAGGACTTAGAGATGCTCACTCTTAATGAACTCATCAAATCATTGATCATCCATAAGATGAGACTCGAAAGGAAACAATAATAAGAAGAATAAGAAGAAGAATAAGAGAATGAAAAGAATAAGGAGGTAGGAATCACCTTCAAGTCAATCAATAAAAGTAATAAAGATTCAAGTGAAAAGATGAATGAAGAAGAAGTGATGGTCAAACCCTTTAAAAGATTTAATTGGTTCATGACTTCAAAAGGATAGATTGGAAGTCTGAATCAAGCAAAAAGAAGGGTCTCTTGGTGTGCTTTGAATGTTAAAGAACGAAACAAGTCAAATATGATTTTCTCCGCTTAAAGAAGAATAGATCAAGTAAAAACAATGCTCTTATGGCTGCTTGGGTGATGAGGACGTCTCCAATGATGTAGATAAAGTAGTCAACCTATGCCTCATGACTATCCAAAGAAAAATTCAATAGTAACTTCTAACTCAAATGAATTAAATTATTATTTTTTTAATGAGTTCAAGATGCCTATGATGAATTGTTTTTGGAGTTATAGCCCATGAACTCTAAATACAAGAAATTAATTTCTAAATTTAAAGTTCAAAATGATTTTCCTTTCAAAGAAAAATTAGATTTTGAAAAATAAAATGAAGATTTGAAAAAAGATTTTGAGTTTTAAAAAATAAAAATTGAAGATTTGGAAAAGAAAATTTTGATTTAAAAGTTAAGCTTGAATTCTTAACAAAAAAAATCATTTTAAACAATTCTTCTACTTCAATAATGGTAAAATGTTCACATTGTAATTACCATGCTCATAGTCTACATACTTGTCCTATTATAAATAGAAAATCTTTTAAAATTCAACAAATATAGATTCTCAATGGAACTAGAGATATTGGTAATTTGGGTACCAAAATCCCAAATGAATGTCTCTTGTAGGTGTGCTGGAGCAATGAAGAGAAATGTCAACACATTTGAATGCTCCAGTTACAGAAAAGAATGATTGGTAACATTTAACCTTAAAACTTTTTGATTTTGTAAATTAGTTGCCTATTGGATTTTATGTATGAATGAGTATTGAGCATGAATTTTTACTTCTTCATAAAAAAATTTGGTCAAGTTGTATTTTTCATGAATCTAAATGATTTTCTTTCACCCTTAATTTGAATGTTTATGTTTGTTCACATGCTTTTACTAAAAAAATGATATCTCTCTAACAATTGATATCAATTTTCAAATGCACAACATTTTATAGTGCTTTATGCAAATGAGTTATAATGTTTAATGTTTTGATATTGTATAAAATATAATTGACTTGAATTTATTGAGTTTCATGTGTTACTAACATGTTTGATCATCTTTGTTGAAATTCAATATCTTTTAAGTTTCAAAGTTTTTGTGTCAATATCTTTCGTGTAATACTTTTATTAAGGGGATCTTTGATTTTTCAAATGATTTTATGCTAAAACGTTTTAACTTACTCTCCTTGTTATTTTGATAAATAAAGTGAATTGTTTTTTATATAACAAAAGGGGGAGAAGTGTATGGTTTAAAAAATTCAATTTCTAAAAGAAAAAAGGGGAAGCTTAAAATATTTTCAAATGTATTCATTTTTCAAGAAATGTTTTGAAAAGGGGGAGCTTTGCCAAATTTTTTTTAAAAAGTTTTATTATATCAAAAAGGAAAATATTATTGAACTTATTTTGATATAACAAATTAAGGGTAAAAGGTTTTTGGACTTGATTGAATTTGTTCAAAGTTTTCAAAAATAATTCAAATTTAATTAAATAAGAATTTGAACTCAAACTAGTTTCAGGGTAAACAGTATCGTTACTATATTTACTATATCAGTATCGCATGAATAGTGTTGATATTGTTCTTTAGGTATCAATACCATAGAAAGGGAAGTATCGATACTCTATTGGTAGTATCGATACTACTTGTTGTTTTCAAAAAATTTCATTCCATAATGCAAAATCGGTATTGAAAATCTATGAATATCAATACTATCTTGCAAAGTAGTATCGATACCACAAACCCTAGTGTTGATATTGTCTCAGCCCAATGATCATTAACAAATAGTTTATTTAAATATTATAAAGGAAGTATTGATACTCCAAAAGGTAGTATAGGTACTCATTGTTCTGGGCAGTTTTATTTTGCAGAAAAATAATTCCCTAAAAACTCCAAACATCCTCTAACGGCTAGAAACAATCACAAACGCATTCCAACATACAAAGACAAGTCAATAACACTTGAAGAAGATTACAACACATATCCAAACAATCAAGATCAAGAGAAAATCTTCTTTATTCTTTATTTTTCTTGCTCTTGTACATAAGTGTTTTGAGCCTAATTGCAAATCTTTAAGATTATTTCTTGTTAGCTCAATCTTTGTAAACACCAACCTTGTAAGGTTTTCTTGTTTACATTTCTTATCCTTTGTAAAAGGTGAGTAATTTTAGTTTAGTCTTACAAAACCTATGGATTTGTAAAAGTTATTCTTGAGCCTAGAAAAAAAAGAAAAAACTAGCGAAATTGACACTTTTTGCATGCTAATTCTCTTGCTTTATGAATTTTCACTACTGATTTGGATGCATTTCGTTTATTTTATGTGCAACGACTTCTTTAATGGAATTGACAGTAAAAGGGTTCACTCTACAATTTTTTTTATTTCTAGGCATGGCTTGAGACATGGGCACGACGCAGGTCTGACGTGGCAGTTTTTAGAAGGCCCGAGTCAACGCGAGGAAAATTCTAAAATCAATTCAGCACTATATGTGGAAACTTTTTAGGGAATTTGGATTTTAATTTTCAAACGTTAAGAATTATCTTTTAATTTTCTTTAATTTCCTTGTAACATCAGGGTTTGGAATCCTATAAATACCCTCATTTAGGTAAGGCTTGGTGATCATCATCTTTTTAACTTTGTTTTTGTTACATGCTTTCATTTTAATAAAAAATTTCTTTTCTTTTTTTACTTTGTGCTTTTAAAATTATTTTTCATCAAAACATGCTAAGTATGATCAATCATATCATGCTTAGCTAATTTTTTTTTAGCCAAGAGATAGTAATGAATCAATTCCATGCGTGAGAATTGAACGGTACTTAATCCCCTTTGGGATACATTCTCATTTTTCTGGTTTATTAGTTTGGCAATGGACCTTACTTACAAATTTTAAACACTTTAAAATAAAAAAGAGCTCATTGGTCTGGACGTTGTTTAAATATACAGTTGGGAGGAAGGATCGGCATGTTACAATTGGACTTCCTATGGAGACACTTAGCAACGGTCCACTAAGGAAAAACAAGATCGAATTTGATTCTCAACGAGACAACATAATCCGAGTTGGGCCTTTCCAGTTTCTAATCTGATTGTCTTAACGACAATAACTATGGTTAATCCACTCAAGAATCATCTTTCGAAGATAGACTTGGAAAGATCGGTTACATGAGAGAATGGCAAGTTACAATGGGTTGGCCCTTGTAGACTGTAACCGACATGAATCTCGGAGTAAAAATACATTTCAATGAACGACGAAAATAAAACAAAGCTAGCTTGAAGCAATTTTCTTATCATTATTTTCAATCTCAATTACCTTTCCTTTATTTCTCTTTTAATTCTCTACTTGTCATTTTTCTTTTATTATTTACCTTATTCACGTCACACCCCCCCACACAATTATTTATTTTTCTTGCAGCTTCCTGGACTAAAATCATCATATGTTTACATCAGGAATTCTAATTTCCTTATGGATCGACCCTATTTACTATACTATTTTATTTTATTTAAAAAGGTTTATTATTTTTTTACGAGTAAACGATGCTTGTCAAAATTGGACCGTTGTTGGGGAATTTTCGGCAATTTATTGATCAAATTTTTGTTTTGGTTTTATGACCAGGAAAAACCTAAGAAATTTAGTAGAATTCAACTTGGAGATCAAAACGAGTGCTCTTAGGAACCACGGTCAAATGCTTCGACGAAAGAAACAACAACGAGAACAAAGCAAGCAACAATCTGATCTGGAATCCACTTCCATAACGTCATCCCGTACTCAATCCTATGAAGAACCAACTCCTGAGGCCACTCAAACTACACCAATCACAAATCCCATGCAAAACACAGAACCAATGGCAAATCAATCAATCATAGAACTAGTTGCAGCTCCCGTCATTCAACAACCACTTTGCATTACGTTTAACCATGGCGAGACCCCTTTTCAACTTAAAATGAGATTAATCCATCTCCTCCTACCTATAATGGTCTTTCTAGTGAGAGTCAACATAAACACCTCGTCAAATTTCATATGGTATGCAGTAGCATGAAGACGTAGGGAGTTTTTGATGATAAAAATCAAACTGAGGGCATTTCTCTTTTCCTTAGACATAACGACTAAGGACTGGTTATTTTTATCTTCCGCCTAATTCAATTACTACTTGGGTTGAACTATCTCGTGTTTTCCTTGACAGTTTTTTCCCAGCAGTGAAAGCGAACGAACTTAAGTGAAGCATTTTGGGAATCCAACAGAGAGATGGTGAAACTCTCTATGAATAATTGGAGAGATTTAAGAAATTATGTGGCAGTTGTCCGCAACATGGCTTATCCGAACAGACTCTTCTTCAGTGTCTTTATGAAGGAATCCATCCAATGGATAAGAAAATGTTAGATGCTTCTAGTGAAGGCGCTCTCGTCAACATGACTCCGGATGCAGCATGATTGTTAATCTCTACCATGGATGCAAACTAGTAACAATTCGGCTCTTCAAGTGAACCCAACCGACAGGTTCACGAAGTAAGTACAATTTCAATTGAGAATAAATTAGAAAAATTGACTAACATTGTCAATTCTCTTGTTACATGTTAAATTGGAGCCGCGAAGGTCAATGGAATTTGCCAATGGAATTTGCACTAAGTCGGATCATCCGACAGATTCATGCCCATTATTACAAGATGAATTCGGCGAACAACTCAATGTCATAAGCAATTTTTCGGGACCTCAACAAAGGCCTTATAACCCTTACGGTAATACTTTCAATCCCGGTTGTAGAGATCATCCAAGTCTAAGCTAAGAGAACAACCAAAGAAATCGGATTTACCAACTAAGACTACTCCCTTTCCTACTCAAGCGCATAAAAAAACTTCTTTTGACACCATTGTCATGAAATTGGCTATATCACAAGAAAAAAACACAAACATACATGACTCAAACACAATCCCATCTTCAGGAAATTAACAAGAAGATAAGCCAATTAGCGCAAACAGTAGGTCGCCTAAAATCTCAAGGTTGATTACATTCGCAAACATAAACAAATCCAAGGACAAATATGAATTCGATTACTCTTCGAAGTGGTACTGTCATCTCGCCTAAACCGATGAAAGAAACAAAAAAAGAATCTAACAAGAAAGGAGAAGGGGAATCATCAAAGAAACAATAAGAAGAAGAATTATAGCCTCCGCATCCCTTTCCTGGTACACTTGTGTGATGTGACAAGGAGGAGGAAGAGAAAGAAATTCTCGACATTTTTTAGGAAGGTGGAGATAAACATTCCCCTTCTTGACGCAATTTGAAAGATCCCTAAGTATGCAAAATTTCTTAAGGACCTCTACACAAACTGATGGTGATTGATTGGTAAGGAAAAGATGAATCTTGAAAAAAATGTCTCGGCAATTTTTCAGAAAAGGCTTCCACCAAAATATAAAGATCAAGGAATGTTCTCCATACCATGCGAGATGGTAACGTCATAATCAAGAGAGCAATGTACCACTTACGCATATCATCAACATGATTCGACTTTCCATCTACGAAAAGATTTCAAGGGAAGCGTTAAAGGAAATGAGGGTCACAGTTAGGGGCGGATGCATATGGCCACATAGGGGGCCAAATGCACACCCATTATTTTAGATTAGATATTCAATATAGTTCAATATATAAAGAAGAAGAAAAAAATAAGAAATTTTGTATACCCATTATATTGAAAAGAAGACTATTAAAATTTTTGTACTCTCATTTCTAAATTTTTGGATCCGCCACTGGTCATAGTACAACTCACCGATCGATTAGTTATTTATCCCAATGAAGTATTATAATTTTTATTTGTGAAGGTAAATGATTTAATATTCCCTGTTGATTTTTACATAATCGATATAGAAAATGATCGAAGTAATACCGTATCCTAGATCCTACTTGGGTGACTTTTCTTGTCAACAGCGCGTATGAAAATTGATGTCCGCAATGGCATCTTAAATAGGGAATTCGATTGGGGAAGTCGTCCAATTTGACATGTCATGAAATACACGAATATGGCGAGCTTGAATTTTGTTGATATAGTTGATCCATTAGCTACTGAATTTTTGGAGATTAATTTTTTCATGATTTTTGTAGGGAATTAGAAAAAGAAGAGTTCGACGATAAGAAGTTTGACGAAATCATTTCTACTATTTCCTCTTATTCTAATTTACGTTTAATGCCTTCAAAAACTAAACCCCTTTCTTTAACTTTGTATGCGCCAAAACTGGAGTTAAAACAACTATCGTCGCACCTTAAAAAAGCGTCATTGGGGTTGTACCTTGTCGGTTATCATTTCAAGCGAAATTAAAAATGAAGAGGAGGACGATTTAGTTGCTATTTAGTGTATAAATAATGAGGCAATTGGATGGACATATATAATATTAAAGGCTTGAGTCCATCCACGTGCATGCATAAAATCAAAACAGAGGAAGGCGCAAAACCGACGAGAGAAGGACAACGCCGTTTGAACCCACCAATGATGGACGTTGTAAAGGAAAAAATCCAGAAATTACTTGATGCAGATATTGTTTACCCCATCTCCGATAACAACTGGGTAAGTCCGATCCACCTCGTCCCAAAGAAGACCAGAGTAACGGTGGTAAAAAATTCAGAAGGAGAAATAGTCCAGACAAGAGTGCATAACGGTTGGAGAATGTGTATGGACTACATAAAGCTTAACTTGCTGACCCGAAAAGATCATTTCCCCTTACCTTTTATTGATCAGATGATAGAAAGACTAGCGGCAAAATCACATTATTATTGTCTTGATGGTGTTTTTTTGGATTTTTTCAGATTCCGGTGGCACCCGAGGACCAAGAAAATAAGACATTTACCTGCCCTTTCAGAACATTAGCCTACCGTAGAATGCCCTTTGGACTTTGCAACGCTCCTACAACATTTCAACGGTGCATGTTAATTATCTTCTCCGATCACATCAAAAGAGGAATCGAGGTATTTATGGAAGATTTTACTGTCTATGGTAATTGATATTCTCAATTCTTTTTAACCTTTCTTTCGTACTTAAACGTTGCATTGAGTTTAAGCTGGTTTTAAATTATGAGAAGTGTCATTTTCTGGTAAGTAAGAGCTTAATTCTTGGACATGTTGTCTCAGCTAAGGAAATCGACATTGATAAGGCGAAAATTGACGTAATTCACTTACTTCCATACCCCACTTCAGTGAGGGAAATCCAATCTTTTCTTGCCATACAGGTTTCTTTTCATAAAAGATTTTTTCATGCTGGCGCAACCATTGTGTAGATTGCTGCAAAAGAATGTGCAGTTCGATTTTGATCCAGAATGCAAAAAATTGTTTGATATCCTAAAATAAAAGCTTGTTTTTACACGAATTGTACAACCATCAGACTAATTTGTCGTTCAAAATCATGTGTGATGCGTCCGATTTAAGTGTCGGGGTTATTATTGGTGAAAAAAATGGAAAGGAACCTCACGCCATCGCCTATACATTAAGAATTCTTGATTCAGCTCAACGTAACTATTCTGCCACAGAAAATAACTGTTTTCCGTCATTTTTGCGTTAGAAAATTTTGGTTCTTATTTACGTGGCACTAAGATTTATGTTTTTTCTTATCATGCAGCGCTGAAGTATTTGATGAACAAGAAGGAAGCGAAGCCAAGATTAATTCATTGGATTCTTTTGCTCCAGGAATTCGATCTTGAAATCAAAGATAAAGAAGAGAGAAAAAACTTGGTGGCGGATCATCTCATCCGATTGCCAACATCAATAGTCGAACCGTCCATCCAAAAATAATTTTCGGACGAGAGCTTAATGGAAGCGTACGCTTCATTTCCTTGGTCCGGCGATATAGCAAATTTCTTAGCAACGAGTAAGTTGCCAGTTAATTTACCAAGATATGAGATTAAAAGAATTAAGTGGGAGTCTCGATTCTACATTTGGGATGACCCTATCTCTGGAAACATTGTGTAGATGAAATTATTAGACTTCGCATCAACGAAAGCGAGGTAAATTCGATACTTTCCATTTGTCACTCTTGCTCCTGCGAAGGTCATTTCAGGCTTAAACGAACTGCGCACAAAATTCTTGAGAGTGGATTTTTTGGCCAAATTTATTTGGAGATGGTTACGTCTTTTGTAAAACATGTGATAGATGTCAACGTGTCGGCAAATTCAGCCGAATGAGTGAAATGTCGCTCAATACAATCTACGTGTGCTAGATATTCGATGTTTGGGGACTTGAATACCTGGGGCCCTTCACCTCATCCTTTGGGACTTTATATATTATACTTGCAGTTGATTATGTCTCAAAATGGGTAGAGGCGAAAGCTACCCGGAACAATGATGAAACAACTGCAACTGACTTTCTTCGTAATTTTTTTCTAGATTCGACAATCCGAGAGCAATCATATGTGATAGCAGAACGTATTTCATCAATCGAGTTATTGAGGCATTAATGAAAAAATATGATTCGACTCAATGGATTACGGTGACCTATCATCCACAAATAAACGAACAAGCAAAGGTGTCAAACCGATAGATTAAATCCATCCTTGAAAAAATTGTCAAACCAAATTGGAAGGATTGGAGCCTGAAGTTAGTCGACGCTTTATGGGTTTACCGCACGGCTTTTAAAGGATCTATTAGGATGTCGCCGTATCAACTAGTTTTTGGCAAGTCTTGCCACTTACCGGTCGAACTTGAGCAGAAAGCGTATTGGGTCGTGAAAGAGTGCAACATGGAAACACTTCTGATAGCACACATATCTTTAAAGAAAAAACAAAAGCATTTCATGACCGAAAAATTTGTTTAAGTCTTTTTCAATTGGACAGAAAGTTCTATCGTTTAATTCGAAGTTCAAAATTTTTGCAAGAAAGCTTAAATCAAAATGGCTAGGACCCTTGACGGTAATTGATGTTTTTCCCCATGGAGCCGTATAAGTCGAAGATAGTTCTGACGCTCGATTCAAAGTTAATGGACAAAGGCTTAAACCTTTCTACGATAATGCACCAATTGCATTAATCGAAGAATTTATTTTGGAAGAAACGATAATTTAAAATAGATCTTCGAGCTTAACAATGTTTAACAAAGCGCTACATGGGAGGCAACCCATTTGTTTTCCCGTTTTCTTATTTTTCCTCAATTTTAATTTTATCTCTTTATTTTATTCATAATTTTTTAAATAACTTTTATTTTAATTTTTCCAGGTTCCTTGTACATTTATTCGGGTTCAATTGGAGTTAAACACGTTTTTTTCCAGTTGAATAAAACCCCAAGAGCAGTAGACGGTCGTGCACAGCAGCAATTCCACCTAAGGTCGTGCGCACCGTTTCATTAAAACGGTATATGATAGCATCTCTTACCTCCAAGTGTAATAAACGTTAGACTCACCCTAATTTTCCTTTTCTGTCGCTTGATTCTTTCCCCCCATTTATGAAAATTCCCCATTTTCCTCTAAAGTTGACCGACCAACCACTTTTCTTTTCAAATTCCATGGACCCCACCAATACACCTCTATTCCACCCCAATTTCTTCCATTTACCCTATATTTAATTTTTTTTTAAATTACTTATTCTTCTTCTTCTTCCCCTTCCCCTTCCCCAACATCACTGCGTAACCTCAAACCTCAGCCCGCTAACACCACCGCCGTCTCACCGCCCTGGAGGCCTTTGTGGAAGTGCCGAGCGATTTCGAACTGACTCTAATGCCTCCTCCTCACCATGATCATCAATGACAGCAGGTCTGCACGCTCCTGCATGTGGAGCCTGAGTCATTATTTGCACCGCCGCCTTCTCCTCCGTCTGTAACCCGCCACTCGCGACGACCCGACATCGTCGGACAAAGCCACTACTGATCATCTCCCCCACGGTCTCTGACTCCATCATTTCAATCTATACCAACCGTGGCATTCGACAGTGCCTTCTTTCTCGATGAATTTCGCCAAATCAGAACACATTCGTAAGGTAAATTCTAGTATTGTTTCCATTTGTCCCATACTAATGTACCATCTTTTGTTTGGTTTTACAGAAGACTTTTTGGCTGAGTATTTCCGGAATGACACAACATTGCGATACATTCATAGGTTCCTCGCCTACAATTATTCCGGTTAGAATGATTCTTCTGGTATTCTAAATGAGCGTTGTTTGGACTCTATGGGCTTGCTTGCCGATACCCCCGTCGCACCTTAATTACCTTTCCTTGCTGGGAATGATCACGCTAAAACCGAGCGAGTTTTCATTCGCTGGAATGCACCACCTCGCACTCCACCACCGTTGCATCCAAATGTGCAAGAACAAGTGCCCAATTTTGCTGAACGTCTTCATTCTATTGAGGCGAATATTACCGAAATCCTCTCCTATCTCCGCCCCGGCTGTGGCCGTGGTCGCAGTCACCCTTAATCATGGGGAGTATTCTTTACCTTCTCTCTTGTGCTATAATTTTTATTTCCGTATGGGGCAATACGATTAAGTGAGGGGATAAAGATTGAATCGAATTCCATCTTACTTGTCTTATGTTTTGTTTGATTAAATGCTTGATTGAATTGGTAATTTTTTTCCTTTCCGTCGATTATCTTTAACATGTTGTGACTGTTTAAGTTCATGTAAATATTTTGAATTTAAACATTCTTGATAGTTGAATTGCATGAGTAGGAATTTAATTTGATGGACGTTGTGACATGTCTTGATTTTGTTTGTTGAATTTTCGCCTAGCTTGATTCATTTACCCACTTTGTGAGATTTTGGCCTTGGCCATGTTTTTCTTCACTTTTATGCTCTTTTTCTTGCTTGAGTGTGTCGAATTGGATATTGGAAATCTAGAACTTGTAGCATGATGAATTTTGAGACTACACATGAAATATGCCAAAAAGAATTCATGTTGCTGAGCAAAAAAAAAAAAACATGAAATATGTTGCTTTCATATGATTTTGGCATTAAGTTTCACCCCATTTTTACCCAAGAAAAAAATTCTACCATTTTCTTCTCAATTAGTGAACCAGTTTGAGCCTATATCCACTTCTTTGATCTCACATTCACATTAACCCCAGTCCTTTTTATTCTTCACCCTCTTTTTCATCCTTGTCAAGACAAAGAATTGAAGTTGTGAGTGACCTTGTTCCAAATAGATTGCAAAAAAACATAAAAACAATAACATTCGGAAAAAGTAGACTCATAAAAAAAATTTTTGGGAAAAAACGGTTTATTTAAGTTTGATTTTTCTTTTGATGTACATATTTTGACTATTTCATTTGCTAACAGACTTGGTTGAATTATTGAAGAATTCTTTTTCTTGGTTTTAAACCTCCATTTTAGCCTTTTCTCTACCTTTACCTAAGCCCTATTATACCCTTTCTAAAGACCTAATGATCTTCCATCTTATTTCTTCTAGAATTGTTTTTGCACAAGCTTATGGAAATTTTTATTTGATTCTACTTTGAGCGAAATTTTGCACCCGAAACACATTCGAGTGATTTAAGTGAATCCTTGCGAGGAATTAAGCTAGGCTGAATTTTTTATTAATAAAGATAGGAAGTTGCAAGGTTATTTGATTCATTCTTACTTATGCTTATTCACTTGATTGGTGTTTGATTCATATAGTAATTTTGAGCTTAATTTTCATGATTTTCTTAAGTATGAAATGGATTGGAAGAAGGGAAATTAAGTTCTTAACTAATTTGAACCAATCATACTTGAGGAAAAGTGTGAGACAAGTGAGGCGGAATTTGATGTATGCTTGAAATTGACACTTTTTGCTTGCTAATTCTTTTGCTTTATGATTTTTTTACTGCTGATTTGGATGCATTTCGTTAATTTAGGTGCAGTGACTTGTTTACTGCAATTGGCAGTAAAAGGGAGCATTATGTATTTTTTTTAATTTTTGCTCACGGTTGGAGACATGGAACGACGCGAGATTGACGTGGTAGTTTATAGAAGGTCCGAGTCAATGTGAGGAATATTCTGGAAACTGCTCAGCACGATCCGTGGAAATTTTTTAGGGAATTTGGATTTTAATTTTCAAACTTTAGTAATTATCTTTTAATTTGCTTTAATTTCCTTGTAACCTAAGGCTTTGGAAGCCTATAAATACTCTCCTTTGGATAAGGCTTGGGATCATCATCTTCTTTATCTTTGTTTTTGTTACTTGCTTTCATTTTAATAAAAGTTTTCTTTTCTTTTTATCTTGCTTTCTTTTTGCTTTGTTGTTTTAAAATTATTTTCATCAAAACATGCTAAGTATGATCAATCATATCATGCTTAGCTAATTTCCTTTTAGCCGAGAGCTAGTAATGAATCGATTTCATGCGTTAGAATTGAACAGTACTTAATTCCCTTTGGGATACATTCTCATTTTTTCGGTTTATTAGTTTGGCAATAAGCCTTACTTACAAATTTTAAACACTTTCAAATAAAAAAGAGCTCGTTAGTCTGGACATTGTTTAAATATACAGTTGGGAGGAAGGATCAGCATGTAGCAATTCGACTTCTAGTTAACACACTTAGTGGCGGTCTGCTAAGGAAAAAGGAGATCAGATTCGATTCTCGATGAGACAACGTAATCTGAGTTGGCCTTTCCAGTTTTTTATATGATTATTTTAATGGCGATAGCTGTGGTTAATCCACTCAAGAATCATCTTTCGAAGATAGACTTGGGAAGATCGGTTACATGAGATAAGGGCAAGTTACAATGGATTGGCCCTTGTAGACTGT